GTAATGTTCAGTGTTAAAAATAAGGCTATGAAAAGGCAAAGCTGTGTTACGAAAGATGTTTATCAATAACCACAATACAAACATGGACCAAATGACTAGCTGTTTCTTGCTACTGAAGCTACTTGGAAGTAAATCATGTGAGAAATTGTTACACACATGCATTAAAGTGGAAGTAGACTGGTAGCTGTTTAACAACTGCGACATTATGTAAAATTCATAGTCATGTAACTGTAATATTAATAAGATACAAGAAATGTATCTGAAACATAGCAACATGAATGTAATGTTCCCAGAAAACCAAGTTTTGTTGTGCATGATCCCAAATAAACACTTTCTGAAATAAATCTTAAAAATCAAATGATGCTGATGTTTATTTAGAGATGTAAATCTGATACATGTAAGTTGTAAAAAAATGCTATTTGTATAACTGTTGCTATGGCAGATAGGTATAATTAAAAACCAGATACAAAAAAAAAGAATATAAAAACAGATGTTGGATAGGAATATATTCAAGATTTTATTACAAAAAATAAGAAAACATATACAACTGTGTATACTTCTAAAATTACAATAACAAAAACTGCCAAACAATAATGGCTCAGTATGACAGTACATGTCATAACATTGTCAAATTATCCTGATATTGGCCTCTTGGGTCTTAAATCACTATAAAAGAAGTCTATGTACTCAAGTAATTCACATTTAATGATAAAATTCCGGTTCTTTCACTGAACCTGTCATCAGACGTGTTTCCTTTCCCTAAATCATGAACTGTGATCATAAAATTAACTGAGCATCTCTCTTCCAAAATTATAAAACATAGCAAATACCTGCAATTCAGAGAGAGGTAAATATAACTAAAAGATTTCTTTTTTTTTAACGTCAATCAAGTCTTAGGAATGAGATGCACATCTTCATACCTTCCTTACTTCCTCCAATCACACACTTCTACTATGACTAGTCACATTTAGTCTTCCAAACATTTATGAGAAAAATCCCCATACATATATATATATATAAATTTTTTAATCAGAGTCAAGAAATCAAAACTATGTCATCATTAGATTAAAAAAATGAGAGAGAAAAAAAAATCATTCCTCCTTAAATTTGTTCTTCTTTTCCAAGATCCTCATCAGATCTTTGCTCATGAAATAAGGCTTTTCGGCCGATCCGTCGTTTCTCTCACAGTCCTCCAGGAAGGAGAGGAATAAGGTATCCACGGCCATAGAATAGACCGAGAAGAAGGCCGAGGCGATGAAGAAAGTGCCGATGGTGATGATGATGACGGGAGTGAGGTAGTAATTCATCGTTGGAATGTGATCCTTGAAGAAAGGTACTTCACCGCTGAATATGAAGAAAGAGGCTACAGCAACTCCGCCAACAACCACCATCTTGCCAATGAAGAGTAAGAAGTCTGTTACCTGGAAGGGATAGAAAGAGACAAAATCAGTCATTGTGATATTGGCAATTTCCTTTCATAAACTTTCCCTAGTAGTAAAAATAAATAGGGTGAATTGATTTGATGTACAATCCCATTTTTTATATCAATTATCTGGTCTACTATAGACACTGCAAGGAGAAAAAAAAAAAAAAATGCAAGTACTTAGAATACAACATGAAAGATCTATATGACAGGGAAATTATGGCCTTACCAGTAAGAATCAAGTACTATTAGAAAAAAAGCTAGTAACCCACTGATGGCAGGCTGGCATGGACATATGATTTTAGCTAATAATTTCCCTTACATTTAGATGACTCTACAAGAGCTTGATCACCTTGGAGGTAATTACTAGTCCTACCTGATCTCACCTGTGTTTACCCTTTTCCTTAATTTTTAAGAGATTATTTCTTACCTCTAATTGTTATTAGTATCAATAATTAAATCATAATACCTCCAGTCTCAATAATAATTATAATAACAGCAATGATATGAATAGCATTAGAAAAAAAAAAATTACAAAACTTCAAGGGACAGAGATATAAGGTGAGATCAGACAGGCTAACTAATTGACTTCTTTGTGACTAAACACCTGCAGAGCCATCTATGTGTACACAAAATTCACCAAACAATCCTGTAGTGAACAGCTGAATTGCCTAGCACCAATGGGTTAGCAGTTTCTGAACACACACTAAGAGACCTGATATTGCAACTGACAAATTCCAATAAATGAAGTATGTAGTTCTCTTCCAGGTAAGTATGGCATATTTACTGTACGAAAAGAGTTAATCTGCCCTACTAAACCCTTTAATGTTATGTATTATGTTATGTTATGCTGTAACCCAATCATGCTGGTGGCTGGGATGGCAGACAACAGCCCTGGTGCAGAGCAGCAAGTGCTAATGCAATCCATTCACCAAACTTTACTGTCATGAATGGGTTAAACACATCATGATATCTTAATATTTCCACCCTTTCTGCTGGGTGGGAGTCAAACAGCTGCAACTCTGTATCAAAGAGATGCACTAACCAACTCTCCTGCCCAGACTCTTTCATCCCCAG